AAAAAAAAAAAAAAAAAAAAAGATTTTAAAGAGACGAAATAACTACATATGCATAATATGTTCAAAAGAGCACTAGCTTTTAATAAAAATCTAATCTTTTAGCACAGGCAAGATTTTAACACAAATGTACGTATATACTAAGTACCTCCAGGCACACTAAGAATGACCAGTTGCCCTATCCTCAGAATCTGAAGTGGAAGTATAGAAGGCTGCAAAATGCAGAAAAGAAAATAGACCAACAATTTGGACTGATTAAATGCTCTGGAAGGTGAAAAAAAAAAAGCAGTTGAGGAGAACAATAGACAAATATTATAACGAAAATTGGTGAAGTGATATAACAGTACAACAATACAATACAACAACATACCCAGTATATTCCCAACAGGTTGGGGTCTGGGGGGTCAGTTGTACGGTGACTTACCCTTGTATAATTACAAGGAGGCTGTTTCCGTAGCGACCCAAGGTGCATTGCGTCGTTTGATATATTTTTTTCTAGAAACTTCACTAATAGAAGAAGCACTAGAATTTAATTGAGCCATTTTGTTCTAGTCCATTATTAGCACTATGTCAGGAGAATTGTCAACAATGACTCTTCCAGCTCCATTTGCAATGGACTTGAAGTGATATAACAGAACAGTAGTGCAGAAAAAAGGAAATTAAATCATTATATAACCGCAATAATTCCAGCGACGAAGCAGAGTAATGGCCAAATGACATATTTTTTTTTCTTCTGTTAAATAATATTTTAGGCTCCTAGGCTGGAGGGATTGTTCGAAAAGTATTATAAGAGGCAGAAGTTTGCATGGGATCCCACCCTGAGGAGAATTAATGAATTAATAATATTTTCCTTGATTTTAATTCACATAATCGACATGCGAAAAAAGATTTAAATTTATTAGTAACTTAACTATAGAAACGACTGAGACATAACAAGAGGTGTAGAAGATAAAAAAACCAGACATTGCAGTTTACCTGCCTTCTTTTATTGTATCACAAGCGCATACACTTAGCTAGTTAATTCAAAGGTAAGGAGAGCAAATTCAAATATGATGAGAAAATCTACAAATTATTATCTGTAAATAAATTAATTTGAGTTAAATTAAACGAGAAAATTCACACTTTTTTTAAAAAGAATTGTAACTCACCGCCCAATCATAAGGTTGTTTCATTTCGCCAGTATCAAGCAGAATAGGCTTAGGATTTTGACATTCCACTTGTTCTTTATCCGGAGTTTTAAGCAAGTTGCGAACGAGTTTCCAAAATGGATTACCCTGACGAAAAAAAAAATAATAATAATAATAATAAAGATGATGAAAAGACAAAAGAATGATGTACCCAAATGTATCGTGCACTCATGCATTACTTTATCATCTCCCTGCTTGAAATCGAAAGCCCCGGGCCCATCAGTCGTGCCAGCAGCAAAAGCAAACCCCATTGCCGCAGGACAAGTTTTTACAACCTCGCTTCCTTTCGAGACATTGAGCTTAGAAAAATCAACAAATGTATGGCGAAAATCGATCTTTCCATCCAACTTTTCAGAGGCTCCATTGAAAAGTTCCACTGCTTTCCTGAATTGTCTTTCTCCTATAATACGTGTACTTTCGAATTCATCGGGGTACCTACCAAGCAATTGAGAGAGATGAGTGTTTAAGGCTATGTTTGGTAACCAAATAAGTTAACTTATAGCTTATTTGGTTAGCTTATAAGCTTCCTGTATTCATATAAGTTTTGACGAGCTTTTTAAAAAGCTCGAGCTTATCTCATAAGCTTATTTGGGTAGTTTTTCCAATAAGTTCGTTGAAATTTTTATTTCACCTTAGTTTTACCAAATACTTTTATCATATAAGATAGTTTTTCAGCCATAAGTCATAAGCTATCAATTATAAGCTCAAAATTCACTTATCAGCTAGGTTGGTAAACATAACCTAAGTCAAATAATTGATAGTAAAAAACTTCTACTTAATACAAAAAAAAAAAAAAGAAGAAGGAACATACCCAGGTCCTCGGCCATAGCATAACTCATTCTTTCCCCCACACGTGCTATGATTGAAGTCACAAGGTAAGCCCGTGTCTAAACAGAAGGCACCGAGCACATTCGGACTCACATCGCCACAGTTTGTTTGACAAAATGCTGATACAAATCTTGGCCTAGTATTAGCCTGCTGGTTGGCACTTCTTACACGTGCTTCAAGGCTTATAAACTTAGTGGTTGATTTTCCCGATGATGACTTAAAAGAAGCAGCACGTTCGAGTAACTTGTTATCTGCATTAAATAACCAACATAGCATCTAAGGATTTGATCGGATATAACTCCAATTTAAAAAAAAAAAAACCAATAAAAACTCAAATTTAACTCAACTTTAACTCAACACCACTATCATCAATATTATCAATATAATTAATTAATATCAACCAATCATTCTTACACATCACATCAACTTTAATTCATTATTCATCCACTCACATAATTTAAACTAGCAATCACTTCACATCAACCTCTTCTAGTTTTACATCAAATCAATTTTAATTATTTTATTTTAAAAATTATTTTAATTTCAACCTAAATTTCCACTAAAAACTAATCATACCACATTTTTCAAAATTAACTATGTTTAACAAAAAAACCAATCAAATCCATATTCAATCACACCCTAAGCATTCAGAATTGATTAGCCCAAAACATAGATCAAATCTCATGTTATCTCACTTCTACAACTACTTGAAGCCAACCTTAGAATGTGATTGGCAAGTGTTCTCATTTCCATTAATGTAAGCCAACTTAGAGATATAAAAAAAAGTCATCATATACTTACAATTGTCTTTAACGACTGGTATTATGTTCGAGACTCTTCTTGGGATTTCATTAAGTTTGGATTTGTTGAATGAAATGCTTCCAAATCCACCATGATTCTTATCAAACCAGTCTTCCATAAATCGAGCCGCAGCTCCTTTATTATCTCCACTTACCAATGAATTCGTACGGCTCATAGAAGTCCCGTGCGTAGCAAACCAATTGAAGCTGCCTATTGGGCCCCATTCATCATCGACGAACTTCAGCAGGGTCATATCTTTATCAACATCATACTTATATTTACTTCGTTCGGCAGATGGATTATTAAGATAAGCACTTGGGCTGCGATTAACACCAGCATCCAAAAGCTCCCCTGTGTTATTAAGACCATATTATTGGTAAGAATACGAAAGAGTTTACATTAGCTCCAAATCCAACGATTATGAGAGATAGTTGTAATGAAAGATAGCTCCTCCAAATGTAACAAAAATATGGGAATGAAAGATCAATTAGATAGTAATGTGATTAATATTTCCAATTTAAAACGCTAGTTGTAATGGTGATGCATAACAGCAACATATACAAAAGCACTTTTTTTTCTTTGCAAGTCAGTAGTGCCTAGAAAACAATTAAAACAACTCAAATGTAAAAGACAGCTCCAAATGTAATAGAAGATAGTTGAATGAAATGAAAGATCAACGGGATTGTCATTCGGTTAATATTTCCAAATTAAACACTAAGTCTAATGGTGCCTCGACGTAATTGACATAAAACAAAAAGTCATATCCATTTATTTTTTACCTGTCTTCACATATATCGATCCTGGTCGGAGATTATCATGAGCTTGTACTATGCTCTGCTCGATACCATCAACAAGAGCATCAAAAGATTGGCGAACAAAACCAAGGGACGTTACAATGTACACAATGTATTGAAGGTAACCTCCCGGACCAGCATGCGTATGAATGCCACTAATAGCAACATTACTTTCAGTGTAGAGATTTCCATACCTTCAATATCAAAATCAAGAAAGAGGTGCTATTATAGTATAAGCAAAACCGATAATTTAACAAAATCTAAGTCCACCACTTATGACAAAAATAAAAAGAATCGTAAATGGGGTTACTACATTAAGCAACTACCTTCAACAACAAAATCAAGAAAAAGTGCTATTATAGTATAAGCAAAACCGATGATTTAACAAAATCTCAGTTCACCATTCGTGACAAAATAAAAAAAAATCGTAAAGGGGGTTATAATACTACATAAGCAACTACCTTGCTTTCAATCTCTCGAGGACTTTTATCGTCACAAGCTGTGAAGCCATACAAGCATCCAAATTTACGAAAACGACCCTGTTTCCTTGTTGTCTTTCAGCAACAATGAAGGTCCGTGCTCGCAACCTGAAGTGAACACCGGATGCAATCTGGTCCGTGTTAGCATAACCCATCATGTTGACATCAGCTGCTGGCCCTGTGATATCATAGCTTCCCAGCCCGATTAAGTAGTCAGATGCTGACATCACCAGTCCACAGTTATCCACCAAGAGCAGTAGAAAAATTGGTAGCCAAATCATCCTACTTGATTCCATTCTCATCACTCTATGGCTCGAGCTAGCTGTGTAAGCATAATAACTTCTCTGCACTTCCTTTCAATTGAGAAGAAAAAACGAGCTACGATCAATACGGATACGAACAAACACATCAAGCGCGGTAGACTAATCAGTAATATCTCAAACCAAATTTTCTCAGTAAAAGCAGAAAACCAAGAGAGTACAACCTAAATATTCTGATGCAATCTCTTTAAACAAGACATAGGCCAAAACTAAAAAAAAAAAAAAAAGAATGTTAAATATCCCAAGCATTGACTAATATACTTCCACATGTACACTGACTAAAAATTACACATGCTCCATCAAAAGACGACGACGACGACAACAACAACAACAACCGTAATAAATTAATAATAATAAGAGACAGAACATTGGTCTGTATCAAGATTTTGTTGAGATCACAAAAATGTCACTGGTAAAAATGGAATCTTCATTCCATAAATCTACATTAAAAAAACCTGATTAGAACCAGAACGACCCACATCAAGATTCAGTTTAAATTCACAAAAATCTCGCCGGTAAAAATGGAATCTTTATTCAATAAAATCTACACTAACAAACACCAGACCAGAATCAAAACGACCCAACACGACGGCGATACTGTAGATACCAGATGCAAAACAATCAATGCCAAATACATACAGGTATCAATAACTCAGTTATATCAGCTCCGGCATGAAATTAATCCCCAAAAAACACACACACACACACAGAGATGAACCCAATACTTACAGCAGAGAAATGAGAAGGAAGAGAAATTCCGATGAAGTATACACAGGTCACAGGGCGAGGCTTTGCCTTTTTGTAGTGAGACAAAAAACA